TTACCGGGGATTGAACTCGGGTCCTTGCGCTTGCAAGGCAGGCCACCGAACCGCTGAGCTAAATCCCGGGCCCAATCCTATCTTTTCTTTAAGGTCTAATTTGGGACATACCCTATCCTGACACCACATAATACAGTCTAGTGTCTGGCCCAACAGCCTCCATAGCAGGGAACTCCCAGGTTCTCAGAGAGGAAGCCTGCTGGGCCCCTCTGAAAGACTGCAAGGCCAGGCTGGCCTAAGGGGACACATGGGAGATGCTTCCAGCTTCACACCTCATGTTTTTTTTAGGTCCCTGTTGGCCCAGGTGGACCTGACCAGGGGTGGGGGATACCCGTGGAACATCTGGACCGAGAGCCTCAAAAATGGCACAAAGGGCACACTGGAGAGCACTCAGTGGCCACAGGGTCCACACAAGAGAGAGCAAGGTTAGTGATTGCAAAGGGCCCTGAGGCCATTTTTGAGGGTGCACCATTGGCCTGGAGCCCATGAAAGCCAGAAACACACGACGAATGTGACCCAAGACACCGAGGCCTCCCTCTTCCCCAATTCTCAGATGTCTATGTTGTACCATTTCATACACATAGTCTGGTAATATCATCAACCCATTTTGGAACAAGTCTCTGCCAGGCTGAGAAGATACAGGATGAACACTCTCTGAGCAACACACAGCTACCGTACCGGCCCAGATGCTCCTGGGAGGTGTAGCAGGGCCCTGCCTGGCAGTGGGGAGTGGCCATTTCTTGATATCCATACAGATACGGAAAAATAAATTTAATCTACCCCCAAAGGCTTTCTCTGATGCTTCGGGCATGTGATCCAAGTTTCCTGGGACATGTGCTGAGAGACCCTATAACTGAAAGCCTCCATACCAGCTCACAATGAATTTCTGCTTTGGATGAAGCCCAGTGGGATGGAACCAGCAAATCTGTTTCAGACATCTAGAGAAGTCGTTGGTTTGCAGCCTGGTCTCCCTTGACAACTCAATGGCCAATCTTTGCTGTACAATTCCAGCCAGAACAATAGCACAGGCATGGGCTGGAGAGGGTCTAGAGACACAGAAACTTGGCTGGTGTAGCTGCCTTACCTGCCTGGCCGTCCTTGGGCTTACACTGCACCTCCTCCACGCACTCAGCTGGAAACCACCCAATGTGGCCGCGGGCACTGCCTTCCCAGAAGCCCCCTTCACCGATGCTCAGAACTAGAGGCAACAGAAAGGGAAAGGTATTAGCCAGAGGGACCCAGACAGAGAGAGCCAGGACAGTGGGGCTGGGCAGAAGGATCAAGGACAGCAAGTCTTCAGAGCCACCATCTGTAGGCCAAGCATCCTCAGACTCCTGCCCACGGGGCATTTCCACCTAGTGGGTGACAAGAGGAGATGGTCATCTGGACATCCGGCTCCTGTCACTTTTCTTCTGTGTCATAAGAACCAAAGTGCATGCCACTTGGTCCCATCTCTCAGTGTTCCCCTGAGGCAGGATAGTGGGGATGGATGGCCTCAGTGTCATGGCTTCCGATGTAGAACTGGGCAGCCACTGCCTCCAAAGGGAGAGGAAATGCTGGGGCCATGCCTTTCCTCACCTGGGTGGCAGAGAGCAGGAGAGTGGGAGGAGATCAAGTGCCTAGCTCCAGGGGTCCCGCCAGGCAGTGCGAAGAGAGAGACTCCCAGTGGGAGGTGACTGGTCTGCTGGTTATGAGCCATCATCCTGCTAGATATGAAAAGGCTGACGGGCAGACCACGTGCCATGCCCGCCCCGTGGAGCTCAGGCCCTCTGACACACTGAGTCACTAATGAGGAACCTGCTAACCACAGTCCTGGTGGGAGAAGCAGTGATTTTTGACTTTGTGAGAGAAAGGAAGGTGGACATAGGGTGCCTCATCTTGAGGGGCCATTGTGCATAGCTGGTCAGACACAGCTGACCCAGCCTGCAGGGTGGGAGTTTCTCAGTCCAGCTCAGAGTTTCCCTCCCTGGGTCAGGGGCAGGGTATGCGATAGGTGCTCAGGGAGCACGGGCTGGGTGAGGAAAAGGTGTGTTTGTTAATTCATCTGTTGAACATGAGTGAGGAACCCAGAGAGCACAGGCTGGAGGGAAGTTCCACCAGGTGTGCTCGGCCCCCACGGCCCCGTTTTGATACACACCTTGGTTGTAACAACAAAACTCAGGGTGGTACAATGCAGAAAGGGAATGTTTATATCTTAGGATGTTAGTGTTGGCCTGGGGTTGCCCCCAGTGTTCTCACCCCTTCCAAACATGGCCTGCAAGGTGGAGATCAAGACAATCTCTACACACTTTAATCTTCTTTTCGATTACTCTGGATGTGAAAGACCCAGGACTGCAGAAAGGGGTTGTGGCACCAGAAGTGCTTCCTGCTATCCTTTAACTGAACCTCAAAAGCCAGAAAAACACCCAGCTGGCCCACAATTTTGCAAGGTGAACAGAACAGAAAATAGCAGCTTTATAAATTCTTGCTTAATAACCTGAAGAAATGACCTAAATGAAGCAGACAAGCTGTATCCCAGCGGACCAGCACCATGTTAACCGCTTGAAACAATTTCCTCCAGAAATCCATGCTGGCCCCTCAGATTCCATGCAGCCCAGCCGATGGATGCTCCACACCATCAGTGGAGGTCTGGGTTTGATAAAGTTATCTTAGGGCAAAGCCCTGGGCTGCGCAGGGAGGCAAAAGGCCCGCTTGTGTGCTGCATAGCAACAGCCTGTGAGGCCACTTATAGTGTCCTTTGCTGCGTGGCTGTGAGCAGGTCATCCTGCTGCTTCAAAAGCACAAAAAAGAAGAGATTTGCTTCGCTAAAGCTTCATATGAGTTTTTACATTTATATTTTAAAAATTAACCAAAATTGTGGGTTCAACTGTATTTGTGCAACTCAGGGCATTCTGTTTGTAGATATGAAGACCCTATAGAACTACACCATTGGAAACACCTCCAAAACCCAAACATAATGCAAAAAGTAACAAGCTAGAGAGGCTGGAAGTTGAAGACAAGCAGCCAGACCTCAGTGGGGATCTGTGCTTGCCTGGAAAGTGGGGTAGAAAGAGCCCAAGAGTTCCTCTTTGTGTTTTTTAGCCTTGGCTAAATACAGCCCACACAGAGTTACCAGTGGGGACACCCTAAACAGGGACAAGCAGAGGCCAGGGAGGTGGAGCCAGGAAAACACGGACTCTGCAGAGGGTGCGTAAAGTCCCTGCAGAGAAAAAGGTCAGAGAGGAGTTGGCACATTCAGACTCCCCACATCTCCAACTGAACCCCCACATACACACAGAACAAACTCAAAGCAGCTAAACTGCAGTGATGGGGTCTGCCCGTGCACAGAGCTGCCGCCCAAGCAACTTTTAAAGTGAAAGGAAGAAATTCACGAGAAGAAAATCTTCGAAAGCCAGGCTCTCCGTTCCTTAACACACTGATGTCCAGAATGAAGCTGAAGATCACTGGACACAGGAAGTAAGAATGAAGCATGCTCTCAAGAGATGAGAATCACTTGAACAAACACGAACCTGGGGTTGGACTATCAGACAGGATTTAATGTGGCAGTTACACCAATCCACAATGTTGTAAGGCAACACAGGTTAGCAGTAAACAAAACAATCCCACCAGAGTAGTGAGCATCTTGGCAAACCAAAAGCAGCAATAAGAAAGTACATATATAGAGTCCAGTAAACAAATCATTGCTGAAATTATAAAATTAACAAGTTGAACTTGGAAGAAAAATGAATGTAACTCCAAGAATGTGTTGGACGCCATCAGATGGAATGTCAGGGGTTGAGAGAAGATGGGGCTCTGTCATCTCTAGAACCTTGCCGTGACACAGATGAAGGCAGGCCAGCGAGTGTGAGGTACAAAGAGAGGAACTGATTACTTGCTGTGGGTCAAACAGCAACAGCAGGGGGAAGGCAGGATTGAAAGCTGGCCACCAACCTCTACTTGCTATCCTGTGCCACGCCTCTTCTGGAAGCCTGTCCAGGGGCAGGGCCTGGGCATGCCGGCACACATATGGTGTCCCCTCCTTTCTCCACCCAGTGAGTTGCAAATGCTTGCATGTGGCCTCCTCGGCCTACCTCCACCTCTCTTCCCTGGGTGGCCTTCAGCTACAAGACTCTGACAATGCCACCATCAGTTTCTCTCCATCCTGGACATACCCTTACTGTATTCTTTTCCCTATACAGAAACCATTATTGGCTCCCCAGGATCCCTGGAACAAAGTCCAACTCCTTGGCTTGAATTTGTCAAAATGCTTTTTAAGCATCATTCCCAGGATCCAGCCTTATGAGTCACCCTCCACTTGGAGAATTTCCTTCCTTTCAACACTGCAGGCCTCCAGACCTTGGCCTGTGCTGGACCAGCTACCTGGATATCCCAAATCTGATCTAAACCAGTGTCTGCCCCCACTCTACTTCCTGTGGCTCTCAGATGTCTCGTGACTAGAAAGGAGCTCTGCTTACCGATACCCTGGGATGACTCTTCCTTGCAGTTTCCATGGTAAGTGTCACCCAGATGTGCATGTGCCACCTTCCTCCCAGGCTCAGGCCGGGCACCACAGTTCCTTCCCTCCACAGGGCTAGTGGGCCTGGCTTTGTTCCCCTTCCTACCCTCCCAAGGGCCAGAATTTCCCATGGGCCCCTACACAAGCCATGTCTTCTATGTTGCCACCCAGCAGATCCGCTGAGGTGGGTCAGGGGAGGCCAAGTGGCCCCAGTCTGCACAGCCCTAGAAGCAGAGCACAAGAGGCGGACACTGACCTTTGACCCTGTCACCACGGTGAAGGGGGATCTCGCCATCGACTTGAGGTTGGTATGGCTTGATGACGACGAAGAGTCTCCCAGGCACCGCACTGTAGAGCTTCCGCTTGGGTCCCGGGTACTCGAAGGCTGAGAGGGAGCCCTTGCTGGCACCAGGAGCAAGAGTTGGCCTGGATCAGTGAGAGAGAAGAGGGACAGAGATGGTCAGGGAGCCACACGTCTCCTGCTGCGGCTAGTACAATCCATAGTCTGCCATAAGCCATCACACTGTATCTGTGAGGTCAAACAGTGATGGCAACAGGGATAGGTTGGGGGCAGCATCTGTGGCAGAAAGGTGTAGTAGACCCAACAACCCACTTCTGAGTGTGTCCCCAAAGACATGAAATCAGGGCCTCAAAGAGATGTGCGCAAACCATTGCAACAGTTTTACTCAACAACCAAAGGTAGAGGCCCATCCTGTGTCCATTAATTGTTGGTTCACTCAAGGATTGAGCCATAAAAAACAAGCACATTCTGACACACACGACAACTCAGATGGACCTTGAAGACACGGTGCTCACTGAGATAAGCCAGTTACAGAAGGATGCGTGGTTCTGCTCATATGAGGTTCCTAGAGGGGTCCGGTCCATTGAGACAGGAAATAAGATCGGGTGCCAGGGGCTGGGGAGTTATGTTTAGGGGGGACAGAGCTTTGGTTTTGGGAAGATGAAAACGTTCTGGAAGCGGATGATGGTGACAGCCACACAACAGTGTGAACGTGCTTAATGCCCCTGCCCAGTGCACTTAAACATGGCTAAAATGGTGATGTTATATTGTGTGTATCTGACCATGATTTAAAAAGAAAAGGCTGAGGTGGAGGCAGAAATCAAGGGAATCCCTGAATGTTACATTTCATCCACTGCATTGCCAGTGTCAGTCATGCTGAGTAAGGAAATCTTCCATCGAAAGCAGTCATTATCACCAGAGTCTGCCCAGCAATACTCCCACAAGTCTTGTCTTGTTTTATGTCACTGATCCCAAGGAGCATGCACAACTTCCCCACCTGACAGTGCAGGGCACCTTAACTGAAGACAGCCACTGGGACAGGGTGTGACAGAGGTATGGGCACAGGTGAGCTAGCAAAGCAGCTTGTTGTAATGGTATCACTGTACCACCGGGATGGATGACCAGCTTATATTGTATCTGGGGTGGAGACAGAATACACATCCCCATGTCCTGAGCAAAGGACCATCGAGTGTAGCGTTCACTTCTCTTCCTAGGATGGGGGGCTCTGGGGACAAGCACACCCATGTGGGGGAATCCAGCAAGGACTTCAGGACAATGAGCCAGAAAGACAAGAGTGGCTGTCACTACACTGGTGACCTCTAAGGAGGCTCCCAGTCACAGCAAGGGAGAAGGTAAACGTCACAGGGGACAGGTTCCAGAACTGAAAGCACGTCTGAACTAGGAGGGTGGTGGGGCATACAGCTGCGTTCAGCTGTGGTCCCAGCTGAGGTTCCTCCCACTACAGATGCTGTGGCCTCTGAGACCATGGAGGCAGCCTCGTGCTTTCTCAGGGAAAACACCCATCTACACAGGGACTGGCACGAAAGCAGCTGGCAGGGAAAGCTGTAGAAGCAGGTGGGGCTCACCATCAGTGTTTAATGTGAACCCTCGCCTTTGGTACCGCATCTGTCCTGCATGCCCCAGGCAAACCCCGGAGGGCTGGTTTGCACTGTCACAAAGCTGCGGAAACACTGTGGTGTGGAAGCCCATGGACCTCTTACTCCCCATTCAGTGATAGAACAGTGAGATCTAGCTGCGGGGCCTGGGCAGGTGTCACCGAGGCAGCCAGTCTGAGGTTGTCAAAACGGGTCTGTGGCATACTAAATTCACACCCGCGCTGGCACTGCTGGCAAGGGATGGACCTGGTCCCAAAGCCCAGATTTGTCCTTTACTTACACGCAGCAGAGCTCTTCGTGACAAAAGCAGTCTGGTCACCGGACCTTGTGGCAAAGAGAGAGGCATGAAGGCTCCCCTGGGGCTCCTGGACACTGGGAGGGCAGGAGCTGGCCCAAAGTCAGTGTTCTCTCCAGGGATCCTCCCTGTCCAGGGTTTTCTCCAACCAAATCATGGCTGTCATTGTAGTGATCGCAGAGTCCCCATGGTGTGAGCTTTTTCACCACCAAGTAGTCACGGGTCAAGGTGGACACATGGGCAGATGTGGCCTCTGCGTGATCTCCTCACTCAACCCTTCCTTGCCTAGCCAGCTGCTCTCCACCATGGGACTCGATGCATATCATTTATCCCCAAACTCCCAGTGCTACTAGAGCAGTGACTCCTACCAGCGTCAAGTTACTGCATGCATCTTGTCCACACATGTAGCTCATCAGGCCAGTGACATGTGGAAGGGCCACGTGGGCCACCTGCTTGTGAGGGGACAGATGTGGAAAATGCAAGCAGAGTTCTCCAGGTCCCCTGAGAGTGTGCGAGCGAGTTTCCCCACCAGCCTGCTGAGCCATATGTGTGTGTACCAGTGACCTTTTTATTCATTCAACCTGCCTCAGCTCAGTGTGAGCCAGGGCAGGCTTAGCCCAACAATCAAGAGTGGGGAGAGACAAGAGTTTCCCTGCCAGACACTGGCTCTTTGGGGCATTCCTCCAACTCCTCCTTTCTCCCTGGACCATCCTGAAAGCACCTGCCCACATCTGCCTGGAGTGATGGAGGTGGCAAGGCCAGGGGCCACAAGCAGGGGCTCTGCAGGTAATCAACTGCCTTTCACTCCTTGGCTGATCTTCCCCTGGCTGTGTGATCTTGAGTGAGTTCCTTTTCTTCTCTGAGCCTTCATTTTCTTATTTGTGAAATGGGTGAGTGTGTGTGTGTGTGTGTGTGTGTGTGTGTGTGTGTGTGTGTGTGTGTATGTGTGTGTAGGGGGGCTGCAAGGGGAGAATGGATGAGAGATAAAAAGTTCATCTCCTAGATGGCTCTGTCACTGCAGCACCAATGGTTATGGACTCTATGCTTGACCATGATATTGGTTAAAATGGCAGTGGCTGGAACACATTATCTCAAAGCCCCTCTCCTGGCTGGATGGGGTGCAACATGGAAACTCAGAAATACCAGAAATTAAACCTCACTGGTCTTGGAATAGCACAAGTGGGTTCTGCTGCTAGCCAGGCTGCACGGGTTCTCTGAGAGGTGGTACAGCTGCAGCAGACACAGGGGGTTAAGCAGATGAGCAGACTGACCAAGACCCATGGTCACTGCCTAAGCACCAGGAAAGGGATTAACTCAGAAAGGAGCAAGGTGAGGCACCGAGGATTCTCCCATAGGGAAGGGGATAGGTTGAAGTCCAGGGAAAAGATGGACAATGTGTCTGGTGGCTGGGGTAGGGCACAGGTTGCGCCACAAAGCTGGGGGTCACAGGATAGACTCCTAACTGCTATAAGAGTGAAGCATTAGCTGCTCAAACCTAGAGTTTGAGAAGCGAATGGGAACCCCTTCTTTTGGGAGGATCTCCACTCCAAAGGAGTTGTTGCCAGGGACCTCCCCAAGTGTCTTCAAAAACAGCCTCTGTGTGAGACGCAGCCTGCCCACTCTGAAAAGTCCAGTACCAGGAGGACCAGAAAACCACTTCTCAACTCCTCTCCATCACAGACCTAGACCTCCCCCATCTACTCATCTATTCGTCTACCCAATCGCTATCCATTCACCTACATGGATATGTGCATCCATTCATCATCTACACACCTTCATATCACTCATTCACCCATCCATCATCCATCCATCCATCCACCCACCCACCATCCACTCATCTTGACATCCACCCACCAAACTCATTCACCCACCAAACTCATTCACCCACCAAACTCATTCACCCACCAAACTCATTCACCCATCTATCATCCATCCATTCACCCACCCACCCACCCATCTATCCACCCACCTATTTCTCATTCCTCCATCCAGTCAACTACTCTTCCACCATCCATCCTCCTATATAACCACGCACAATCCATCCATGAATCTATCATCCACCCATCTATCTACTTAGCCATCACCAAGCATCCTTCTGACCACTTAGTTGAACACCATCTATTCACGCATCCTCTTGAATTTCAGGAGGAACCTGTCTAAAGACCAACTGACCTCTTACTATCAGCCATTGGACAGGTCAAATTTATCTCTCAGAGCTTCAACTTCCCTGTCTGTTGAGAAGGGGCCATCGGGAGTGGCCAGAAGAATGAGTCCATATGAATCCACTCTACACAGGTGTTGTGCAAATGTCAGCAGCATCACCACTGTCCTGCTGCAGCTGGACAGGGCCTAACAAAATGCCCAGGTCACTCAGTAGCAGACTGTGTAGCCAAAGAAGTCATCATGGACACAGCCCTAATCCTGGAACTGCTTCTTAACCCACTTTGCAGTCAGCTCCTTGAACCACCATTCTGAGGTCTGGGAGAGTCTTTAAGAACTGAAAGGACATACTCCTCACAGACAAGTGCACATACATAGTTCTAGCTTCAGCAGTGATAGGTGGCCCCATATTAACATCTAAGCATCTCCTTATTCACTGTTCATCAGAACCTCACACAGTCCCACAAAGGCAGCAGAGTAGGAGCATTTTCCCCATTTTGCAGGTGAGGAAATGAGGGCTCCATGCAGAGTGACCTAGGCATGGAAGTCAGAGCTGACCTCCCATCCTGGCTCCCTGCTCCATGTCCCAATGGCACAGGGGCTGAGATCCCACCTGTGGATGATGGCATTTTGCCTCTTGACACTGTCTTACACGCAGGGCTCTCCCACCTGGCTCTGCATGAGGAACACCTGCCTGCAGGAGAGGTGGCACAGGGAGCCAGACTAGGACTTGCTCCACTGGCCTGCACAGTGAGATGGGTCTGAAGTTCACCAGCTGAAACTGTCCATGTTTTCCTTACATTCTAGCCAAGAAAAGCCACATGGAATCCAACCAACTTGTTTTAGTCTAAGGGCCAAGTCATTGGATTCTCAGTATCAGAAAATTGGCATCTTGTGCTGTAGGGTGGCTTGGATGAGCGAATTGGGCCATTTCCCAGATATCCTGGGTGAACAGGAACCTGCCCACACACTGGTCTTTCTCCATTCATTCATTTGTCAGTCAGTTACTCATTCATTCATGCACCAAGTATTTTGTGGGTGGGCTTTGAGCCCT